AAAGAAATTAAAAATTAAAAACCTAGATGGATATAGAGTGGTTTAGCTAATTATCTTTCATACTTTCATACGAAATGAAGGTCCCTCTAACAATGTTATCTCAGGAGATTCATGGAAACCCAGTTTTTCTTCGTATCTACAATGTCTAAACATCCTCAGACTTTCCCGTTAGCTGGATGGCTCCGTAGTTGAAATCGGACATGACCACTTCTTAGGTGCTCGATAATGATAATGAGCTTGGTTACCGAGACTTCAAAATGATTTGTTTCTTATCAATTGGAGCGTTTGCGCTTTTATGTTGCGTTTCGAAAATTTCTTCTGCCTTCATCACGATGAGCCTTCTTTCTTGTCAGGCCATTTGATACAGCTTATAGCCTTACATTTTTTTTGGCCTAGCCATTTCGTATGGCAGCTCAAACGTCCTTTTATGAGTTTTCGAGGCTATTCGTTACTCTTCGTGAATGCCGTGGCGACGTTACTATTCCACTACAAAACCACGAGTACCAGTATGTCGATAGCTAGCCAGGCCCTACCCAAATCACATTTATATTGGGACCACCGATTAAGCAAACATACAATTGTGATTGACGCCGTTACTTATTTTCGATATAGGTAGGCTTTGAAATTTACTACCTGGCATATAATCCCGTTGCTGTTGGTGCGAGCTAGGCTAGTTAGAAAATTTAGTCCGACCTGGGCGACAAGGTTAAGGTAAATTCAATGGCATTGTATGGTCTATTCATATTATTATGGGAAAACTTAATTATCTCTCCTGGCATGGCAGATATTCTTTCACTCATATACTGTGGCAGTTAGATTACGTCATTTTCAATTCCGCTTATGATCGAGTCAGCATCAAGCAGAGCCCCTCCACCTCTACAGGCGGCCGAAAAATCACTTTATTAAGTGACCTCAATTTTCTAGCAGGCATTTCTCGAAGCATTCTTGATATTTCGGCACTATCAACCAATAAAATCCGATTCCATGACTTGATTCGGTACAAATTATATTCCTCACTTGTGGCCCTTTTACGGTTCACTGGTCACTTCATTAATTTCATAGTTTATGCTTTAAGAGAGCTTATTATTATATGATTTTGATCTAATAATCGAGCATTTGCGTGATAAAACTTGCCAGTACTCTTAGTTAGATGTAAAACTCTGTTTTACTAATCGCATACTGTTTCATTAAAAGTGATATGAAATAGTGGCAGTTTCGAAACTCTACTTAAATACGAAAAAAACATTAAAAGTGTGCTTTTATTATTTTCACTCATAAGTTTGCATGCATACAAATGTTTTCTTGATCACCACGTTTTCATTTGATTTCTATAATTGGCAAATAATATTAATTTACTCGTAACACAATTGGAGTTATCTTGTAGCAAATGACTCAAATGTCGGGTTAAACTCCTATGAATCCAATTTTACAATTTCGTTATGCTTATTTAGAGAGTATCCATTTGCTCATACGGAATATAAATGTTTTTGAATGACCTTCTAATCATTGCATAATTCACCTTCTCTTTTCAATATTTCTTATAATTATCAGAGTAAAATGTTTGTATATATGAAGAAAATGCTAGTTTCGATTAATCTTTTAAGATATAGTTGATGTAAGAACATGATGAAGAGAGTTGTTGGTCAATCTCATCAGAAGACGCCGGCTGATTGCCGACATATTAATGCCAAACGGCTGCAGTACAACGCGAATCAGCCGACGTATTTTGGTGAGATTGACAAACGAATCTCTTCATCATGTATTTCCATTCGAAATGAAAGTCTTCACACCAAAAAAATGTGTGTACCTTTTTTCATCCAGTAAGCACTCAAGTATTAGAAAATATTTAGTTTTCCTGTCTCCTCTACACCCTATGTTCTGAAGACCATTTCGATACCTCCGTGGATATAACCTCACTAATTGCAGAGCAGCTAATCGTCACCGGACTAGTACGTTTGATCATCATGATCACAAAGCAAATTATTGAATCATTATAGCCATACTATCCGGACCAATCTTGGGGTAAGAATATGCGGTCTCAGCTTGAGCGCTACTGAGCACGTCTATGGAGAGTTATCTACATGAACTAGGAAGCCCATTCCATTGTGAAAGTGTATGCTAGTTTTTGCATCGGCACCAAAATACGCTCTGGTTTCGAGTATTGTTAGAACCTCTTGCCCTAACAAGACTAACTATTATCGCATAAGGCGACTTCGACTTTTTTGATTGACTCAACATCAATTTCACTCATTTTAACTTTCCAATGCGTTAGCAAAGAACTGTGAATTTCAAGAAATTAATATCCTCTTTTTTCGTTGATATCCAGCTCCTCTCAGCCAGTTGCCGTTTGCCCTACAGCCTCCTGCGCGGATTGGTCCATTTTCTCGCTGAGATACTTTTCGTCGCCTTGGATTTACCTTCCTCTTTCCCCTCACTCCTCACTTCCCATACACTTTCCAATCAACATTTAGCCAAATCTACCGTGCCTCTCCATTCGGAGGTTCCGAGGGGCTGTCAATCTGAAACAAGAAGCTTAGCCGATCTAAATCCTCTTGTAGATCCCCCTGTACCTCTGTCAGACGCTTCTACATTTCTCGGCCCTCATTCGACTCAACTATCATCGCCTCCTTCCTGCCCATCCACCTCTGGCCAAGACAAGTTGTCATCTTGCCCATCGCCGGCACTCATGGGCACGCTTGGCCCATTTTTAGAAGACCTTTTTTCAACGTGTGCTGATCTCCTCTGCCTCCTGGATATGGCGGAAGGTCTCCATCACTCACCAACGAACACGGCGGATCATGCCTCCGTCCACCAGTCGTCTAATTTCGGGGCGCCCATTACAAGCGCACCTGAAAGGCAGAAGAAAAAACTCGTGGGGCGTGATGTGGACGTGCTGGTCTACCCAACCAACTCGATCCGGAGGGTCCAGGCTAGTTTCTTTAGCCAGTTACTTTTAGTGCCTTTTAACACGGCAGCAGCAGCAGCAGCAAATTTTCTATCTACAGTACAGACTTTTAGAGCAAAGCACAATGTTGTGATAATTGCCTAGCGCGTGGAGCTTTAGTTATTAATTAGAAATTGCATGAAATTGTCATTAAATCGCTCGTCATGCTTTCTCTACATCATCAGGGTTCGAGTCTCAGTAAACATTTGTCGAAATAAACAATGTTTGTTTGAGGAAGCACGAAGCAATGAAGCCCCTACATCCACTTAGCCACAGCCAATATACAGTTAGCAGTCTGGCTAGTCGGTATGCCCATTATACATTTCCGAAGCAAGCAAAAGATTAGAAGAAGAGAAGACTGTACTACTTTGCATTTTTGGAATTAAATTTGGCCTATAACTGCAATCTGCAGCGCAATGAGGAAGATAATCTGTATATTTCTTGGCTCTAGCTCCGGCTCTATGCTCATCTCCAATCAGATACATTGAGACTGTAATCCTATATGTAACCTTTAGCACCAGCTTGCGTGCAAAGCCTTCTGTGTTGACATATTCGGCTATACCAACCACCAGCATACACCCTAAATGACGTT